GTTTGCAAGAAAAGAACCAAGCTCAGAGAACCCCAAGGACTCCAAAAATACCAATGCTGAACATTTTGTGTGTGTGTGTATACACAGACACACCATATAGAAATAATTGCTTTACAGAAAATGCCATTACCTAATAATACTACTCTGTTACTGTAAAATATAATGAAATCTATACCATAGAATAACATATTGCCTTTTCTAAAATGGATAAATTACTCATTTCTGAAAGCCAGTCCTTAATATCTGGATTAATACTGCTTTTCCAATTTCTCAAACAAATCCAAATGCTATCTTGTTGACAGTGCTATTAAAATGATACACAGGCAGCCTGGATTTTGTCTACTGGGCGAAAGCAGTAGCTTCCTTGCCCCAGGGGAGACTAAAGCGAGTTGCTTCTCTTCCCAAGAACTGCCTGGGAGAGCTGGGGGTGGGGAGTCCATTGTATTGGATCCAGACTTAATTGTGCTTGAAATAAATTTACAGACATCCGGAGCAATCGTAATCAGCATTCTGACCATCTCTGTATTCTAGAAATTAATCAGGAGCAAGACAAAACTGCCTGCCTGAAAGTCCAAATCTTTCTCTGGAAACTCTATCCATTAGGTGCCTGAGGTGGACCATTCTAATGGGTTCTTTGCACTCATAGAGTTCTTGGATGTTCACCATCTGCAGTTTCACCATAAAGCGATCTGACTATGGCAAAGGACAGATGTCAGTGTCCTCTATATTCAGATCATATTCCGTCTGCTCTGAAGTGAAAACCAGATCAAGCATATGCCTGTGTCACGGCATGGTCACCTCTGTGGTCACCATGGAGGCCGTGAACTTGTGAGCCACTCTGGGCTCTTTTCCCAAGATGTGGAGGTTGAAATGACTCAAGATCATAAGGCTTGAGGGCACCAGCACCAGCCCTGGGATGGTCCAGAAGCTCGTGGAGGGCTTCTGCTGGACAGCTGAACAGCAGCCTTAGCCTGTCTCTGTGGCCCACTTTCACACAGAGGCACTCAGAACTGGTCACCTCAAGGACAATGCTGTTGGTCACTGTAATTGGTCACTTCACAAATATTTGCAAGGACCTCTCCACTGTGACATTGGCATGGTGGCTGCTGTTGGACCTGATCTTCAGATGGGCATATTCTCCCCAGGACTACGTCCTCATTGCTATCCAACCAGCTCTCATTAATACGTGCCAGTTCAGCACCATATCACTACACACAGATCTGGCATTTTCCAGTCCAAAGGCACATGACAAAAGTTGGGGTGCCCCTTCTCCTATAATGGGCTACTGAGTGCCCCTGGCCATAATTTCCTCTCCCCACCAGAGTTCCAGTATGAGCCACCACCATTGTGCATAGTATTCTGCTCCAGCCCCTCCTCCTTTCACGCTGCCAAGCATATTCCACTCGCCCTGGCTGCAATATGCAGGGCACTTCCACAGGTCTAGTTCCAGTATTCCACAACCACTACACACTATTAATGCTTCCTCCCAGCTCCAATTCAATAAACAGCTAACACCTTCCCACTGACTCTGATCAGCTTGTATTCCTACTATCCATCTCCAGGTTCTCCACATCCTGCTATCCATGCACCTCCATGGTACATACTAAGGGATTTCCAGCCCCCACTCCCATTATTCCACTGCGAAGGGGGCTCCTTCACAACTTCCCAGCTCACTAGAGTAATCCAGTCTTATAAACCACCAGCAGTCCAGTTGTCTGCCTGCCTGCCTGCCTCTATATCACCTCAGTCTAGTCTCGGGTTGCCTCTCTTCAGCTTCCCATTTTCCTGGCGTTTGCATCTGGCCCTCTGCACTGGTTGCTCTCCACATCTCATCTTTGTTGCTTCCTCTTCCACCAGCCTCTCTAGAAAAGGTCTGCCCATGGGAGTGAAGCTGAGCTTGGTTCCATGACTGGGTCATCTTTCTTGCTGCCATGTGCTTAATAATGGGGGCCACCATGTTCTTCCTCCATCCTCGTTCAGCCTTCTGCACAGGAGCCCTGCAGATGGAGCTCACCATCTGTCAACTGTGGCCAGCAAATCCATTCAACTTCCCAGCCAAGTTTTAGTCTGGGTCTGGTCTGCTCTCATCCTTCTCCACCATTTTTTCCACTCCAATGTACCACCCTCCAACCTCCACTGCTGACAACTCCCTCACCTCCACCAATAACCTGCCTTGCCTGGGTGACAGAAAATGATTGGACTTGAAAAATCATGCTATAAAAATGGTGATTGCATGAACCATCCTGATGGTGCTTGGCTTGACAGTGGTTGTTCTGAATAGGGAGGCAAATAAAACTGTGTGGCATTTGTGTCACGTGAAGTTAGTCTGAAGGAGCTTTAACGAGCCTGTTTTATTTTTCATAATAGGTTGGGTTATCAGAATTTGCCACAATTGTTTCACTAGTTCAAAACAATGTGTGTCTGGACTGATAGGTTGAATTATGCATGTTTTCCATCTTCAGTGGCACATCCCCGTTGGCCTGCCTGAATGCAATGCTTCACTCCAATTCAAGGAGCTGCGATGGGCTTTTTTATAAACTTCCTGGGCGGATTAGCCTATTTACTCTCAAGGTAAGACCAGATTGCTATTCTTTTAATCGCGAGACTGGATGAAGGCTAAACTGACTGCTGAATTTTGTATGAACTTAGCACCTGACATATGATAAGGTCTCAAGTCTAGAACTTATCATTAGCCAGCTTTGGGTTCAGTTCAGTAAGTTGATGCTTAAATAGAACTTTTGGAATATTGTGTTACATTGTACTTATGGCAGCTTCCTTGAGTGGTTTCTGTCCTACATCGTGGCTGTTACAGTCCTTACATCGTATAGACTGTACAGTGTAAGGGCTGTACATACAGTCATACACTGTACATACAACATACGGTGTAAGGACTGTAACAGCCACTATGTAGGACAGACAGGCAAAAGATTAGCAGAGCTCATCCATGAACACCAAGTAGCAGTCAGAAGACACAATGAAAACTCCCTAATCTCACAACGCATGGACAGACTTAACCATAGTTTCAGTTGGGAAACTGTGAGCATCCTAGAGCAAGCTAGATCCAAAAATGGGAGGGAATTTCTGGAAGCCTGGCATTCAGACACATCCGCCATCAATAGACACATAGAGATAAACCATGTTTACACACAATTCAAAAGAGACGACAAAAAGCTAAGAAGGAAACAAAAGAAGACCAGAACACATCCCCTCCAGCAGCCAACACCTAGATAAGCAGGGATTAACACCAGGCAAAAAATCAAGCAGAAAACAATACCTAATCAAGGAACTACCAAGGAGAAAACCACACTCCCACCAACACTGGCAGGGCAAATTACTGTATATAATGGAGTGAACCCCACACTTATTAGCACTGATGATGTTCCCTAGTCGAGAAATGAAACGTCTGCAAGCAAACAGCCAAGCTCAGAGAGCACCAAGGACTCCACAATGATATGCTTTATTTATACCAGCTAACAACTGTGGCTGGCTCAAAGTGAATGCAGTTGCTAATTCAGTAGCTGGTGGGGATGGAGGACCCTTAGATTCAACCCTATCCATCTGGTACAGAGGAGGGAGCCTGTGAGTGTGGGCGAATGAGTATGTGAGTAAGGCGGTTTGTATGAATGTGTTGTATGTGTGAGTGTATGGCTGCATGTGGGCAGGTGGTGGCTGGGTACCCTGATGGTGCTGAGAGCTGGTGAAGCTATAGTGCCTCGGGGTGCTGGCTTCCCCTCCCAGGGAAGGCTGGTGAGGACAATGGGAGGTTCCCAGTCCCTGGTCTTGGGGGACTTAATTTTGGGGGTGGGGCTGCCATTAGGGGGGTGGAGGTGGGCCATGGTATTATGGTGGTGACTGGCATGGGGAGGTATGGTGGGAGACAGCGAGCTGCTCTCAAGGAATGTGGAACCATTGCCTTATACTGATTTCGCATTCCAGCTCCTTGCTCTCAGCCTGGTACCCTGTCAGCAGACCTTCAGCAGCCCTGGCCTCTGGCTGCTGCTACTGAATGCCAAGTTGGTCTGCAATAAGGCCTCCTCATTAGTAATTTCATCATTGATGAGAGGGCCGGCCTGGCACATACTACTGAGACCTGGCTGGGCCAGAAGATGGGGTAGCCCTTTTGGAAATATGCCCAGCAGGGTTTCAGGTGTGGCATCAGTTGAGACTCTGGGACAGCGGTGAGCGTGTGGTGATTGTCACCCGGGAATCCTTTACGGCTTTCTGGGGCTCTGCACCACAGGTCACCAGATGTGAGACCCTGATCATTAGGTTGGGCTCTAGGGATCAGTTGGGATTGTTGCTGTTGTACCAGCTTCCCTGCTGCATAGCAGTCTCCCTGCCTGAGCTGCTTAACTCCATTTTTGGGCTGGCAATGGAGTTCCTCAGAGTTATGGTTCTGGGGGACTTCAATCTGCCTTTTCTAGAAGTGGAGTCTGAGGTGGCTCAGGAGTTCATGGCCACCATGATGGCCATGGACCTATCCCAGGTCATCCAGAGCGCCACACAGGACAGTGGTCACACACTGGATCTGGTGTTCCTGTCAAGCAGTGGCTGTGTGATCTGAAATTGGGGGAGCTCTTGATGTCTCCCCTGTCATGGTCAGATCACACCCTGATTTCCATGGGATTCTCTAGTGCCACTGTCCACTGCAGAAAGGCTGGACCCATTAGATTGGTCCGCCCCCAGTAACTGATAGACCTGGATGGGTTGCAGAGGGAGCTGGGGGTTATTCCTGCTGATTTGTTTGTTTGTTTATATATCAAATTTGTCACCGCCCATCTTGTTAAAAAGCGACTCTGGGTGGTTTACAGAGAAAGGTTTACAATTTGCTGCACAGTCCATCCAAAGCCTTGGTTGCCGCTTGGAGCAAGGGGGTGGCTGAGGCATTGGATTGGATCGTGCCCATGCAACCTCACCTCTCTTGGGAATTCCGCCACTCCCCGTGGTTTATGGAGGAATTGCGGGAGATGAAACGAGAAGAGACGTCGAGAGTATTGCTAGCATGCAACCAAGGACAAACTCGACTGAACAGGGGTTAGAGCTGCTATTAAGGCCTACCTTGTGGCAGTAAGGGTGGCGAAGTGACGGTACTTTTCCGCCCTTATTGCGTCTGCAGATTGCCACCCCACAGCCCTGTTTTGGGTGACATGAGCCCTCTTGAGTAAAGGGGTCTGGGGAACCTTTTGCAGGGGTATGCGGAGGAATTTGCTGAGTATCTGTTGGATAAAATCACTCAGATTCGCTCACAGTTGGACTCTGGCCTTGTTGGAATGGAGTCTTGCCCAGTTACCTGAGAATGGTTTGAACCTGTTGGACCTGAGGAAGTGGACAGGGTCCTTAGGACTGTGAGCTTAGCCACCTGCTCTTAGATCCATGCCCCTCCTGGCTTATGAAAGTGGCCCGAGGGGTGTATTGTGAGTGGGTTCTAGCGGTGGTTAATTCTTCTTTGAGTGAGGGGGTTGTTCCGTCGCCTCTTAAGGAGGCCTTGGTTTACCCCCTTCTCAAGAAGCCATCGTTGGCCCCACTATACTGGACAATTTGTGTCCAGTATTTAACCTCCCCTTTTTGGAAAAGGTGGTTGAGAAGGTGATTGTGCAACAGCTTCACAGGGCCTTGGAGGAAGTGGATTATCTGGATCCTTTTTAGTAAGGATTCAGACACAGGTATGGGACCAAAATGGCATTGGTTGCGCTTGTGGATGATCCCTGGTGTGGGCGGAATGAGGGTTGTGAATCTATCCTTGCCCTACTTGACTTCTCAGTGGCTTTCGATGCCATCAACCACAGTATCCTTCTGAATTGGCTTAGATGGTTGGGGATGGGTGGCACTGCGTTGTGCTGGTTTGCCTCCTTCCTTCGGGGTCGATTCCAGCTGGTGGTGATTGGGGAGAAGTCCTGCCCTCAGACCCTATTATGTGGGATGCTACAGGGTTCGGTGCTTTCCCCTCTTCTATTTAGCATCTACATGAGGCCTCTAGGTGAGCTCATCCATCGCTATGGGATGGAGTCTCATCAGTACACGGATGATACCCAATTAT